ACAGCTACACATCCTTCCAGACTCATAATGTTGAGTTGTCTTTCACAGTGGAAGGATGGATCTGAAGCAAGAGTGAAGCTTGATTTTCTTCTCTTTCTCAAATATGAAACCCCTAAGTGCTGTTTATCTGATGGGGACAGTTTCAGTGTCTAGCAGGTCTTGCATGGCTGTTAGAGTCCAATTTTCTCTATTATTTTATATGTAATGTCCTCAAAAAGCTCTCCATTAAGCTACTTTAGATGTACACGAGAAAGAGATTCAAGGCAGCTAAGGTGTGTTTGGGTAGTTGTTGCTACTAAGAGTTAAACTGGCAGTAAAAAGTGGACAAAATGCTGATAGATTTGATATTATAGTTTTTGTTGGAGGCTTCTGTGTACTTTTTGTGAAATATATATTAACTGCTTTTTTTCTGATACTGAAAATGAATAACTTCCTAGATTTATCACATATTATGGCTTATTATTCAGTAACTACAGGAACTTCAATATTGTTCTTAGGTTATAGAAGTGGGGCCTGCTGCTGGGCCCAGGCCATTTAAGGGTTTAACCTCAGTAACCAAAAGAAAGAAATGTAGCTTTTGTAAATTCAGGACCATTTTGCTGGTTCTGATGCTGTTGGTTATCCCTTTTTCCTACTGGTTTTTCTACAAAGTCAGGAGATTTTTGTCTGAAAATGTATGAAAACAAGCACACACACACACACACACAAACACACGCAGTGAAAATTCACTTTGAATGAGTAAAGGATTGGTTGATAAACAGTTTGTAATTCTTCCAAGACTCAGGGAACTAAGGGACTGCCAATTTAACAGCACTCACATGATTTGGGTTCCAACATACTCTGAAGTTAGCTTCAGATTTTGTGTAAACACATTTTTGCAGTAAACACCATACTGCAGCATGCAGAGGAGATGGATAAACATTCAAGATCAGGACCAGCTGTCTATAACCACATTATAAACCTTCTCATCATAAGAGATATGGCAAGGAGTTCAGTAAGACTCTAGCATGCTCAACACAGCAATACAAATCATATATCATTTGATATAATTTGATGTTAGATGGTTTTTCATACTGATTTTCATGATGTTATCACAGCTGACTGTGTTCAAGGATCTAGACCCCATGTGTCAAACACAAGGCCTGCGGGCCAGATCAGGCCCACGACACAATCTTATCCAGCCTGATCTTATTCTGATCTTCTATTAATATTAGCCCGTTTCACAATGCTCTGCACTACAATCTCCAGCGTGCACTGCAACGTAATGTGTGCTCTGACTCTCCTACCCCAATAACAGTCTATGGGGCAGCGGTTACACCTCAATTCTACACAATTCTATACAATTCCACACCAGTTATATCACCAAACACACTAGCTGCATTTTAGCTGTGTTTCAACCAATATAAAAAAAGCAAACGTCAGCTCAGCATCTCAGAAATTGAGCCCAAGACTTAATGAACTTGCAGCAATGAAAAGATGCCAGGTGTCTAGTTCAAGCAGATAGGTAGGTTTAAAAGACTGAGCACCTGGGGACATTGGAATTTTAAATACTTCATGTATTCGTGTAATATTTCAAGCTCTACTACAAGTGCCTATATTTTACTGCTGAAGTTTTAGCGCATTTTGAATAAACAATGACCAGTTCGGGTTATAGCACAACATTAATCAAAAATGAAATAAAAACATTTTTTTCCTCTGCCCCACAGATTTGTTGAGATTTTTTAATGTGGCCCCTTTAGTGTTTGAGTTTGACACCCCTGTTCTAGACGAACTATCCCAGATTAGTGCTGTACTCCCAGGAATCTGTGTATTTGCTAATGAGCAGCACATTCTTATAGATGAAAGAAGCTGCAGACCAGAGGTGGCCAGCTTTAGGCCTGGAGGACCTCACTGTTTCACACTTTAATGTTTCCCCTCAAACAGAGTTGATACAACTCACAAAGGGCTGGATGAGTTGAATCATGTGTGTTACAGCAAAGGAGAGCACTGAACTGTGTAGTAGTAGTACTGCCCCCCAGGACAGGAAGTGGTCCCCCCACCCTGCTCTTCATCAAGCATGTAGCCACCATGCTGCTCTAATGCACCAAAGGGCTGCTAATGAGCAGCACATGTGTCCATTGTAGTGTTACGGGACTCTAATGGACCGCAAGCTAATGATGTTAGCCACTAACATTAAGAGAGGCATTTTAATTAATAGCCTTTTTCATCTGTCCACTGCACAGGTGAATAGCTACCATGCTAATGTAGCTTTAGCTCCCCGCAGTTAATGATAAGCGAGCAGATGACATCTTGTAGAGTAATGGAGTAATGAAGGTTCATTTACTGATGAGGCTAGCAGCAGTTCAGGCTAAACAATGCGAGTGAAATCTGGAGCAAGGCTCCCGCCGTGCAAGAGGAAAGCCAAAGGCAATGATGTCACCCTCCCTAAAAACAATGCTTCATTCAGCCGCACTGGGGGGCAGGAAGCTGCTAGTCGTTTAAAAGTGGGGGGGAGAAAAAAAATCACAACATCTGCTGCTTAGCATTCCAGACGGATGGAGAGAGAGAGAGAGAGAGAGAGAGAGAGAGAGAGAGAGAGAGAGAGGAAGACGGAGAGAGAGAGAGGAAGAAAGAGGGAGAGAGAGAGTAAGACAGAGAAAGGAAGAAAGAGAGAGAGAGAGAGAGAGAGAGAGAGAGAGAGGAAGACGGAGAGAGAGGAAGAAAGAGAGAGAGAGAGAGGAAGACAGAGATAGAGGAAGAGAGAGAGGAAGAGAGAGAGAGAGGAGAGGAAGACAGAGTGAGAGGAGGAGGGGGGAGAGAGGAAACAAGAGATACTCAGAGAGAGAGAGAGAGAGAGAAAGGGGGACTCCATTGAGAAACCAAGGCACATGTCTCTGAGACAGAGATATCTGTTGAAGGACAACAGCCTTGGATTTAAATCAGCCTCTGTCCACGTCTGTCTCTCAGCAGTGGAATTCTTTCCACATGGACTCTGGCTCTCAGTCAAAATCAGGCAGTCTAAAGACAGCAGTAACCTACATCCCAGGCTCAGCAGCCCCAAAACAGCAGGAGAGAACATTAAGCCCACAAATGTTGGGAGTACAGAATGTGTTTCTTTGTACTGTTGTAGTTTCTCTAGTGGAAATGTCTACCATATGTTCTGGGCATTTAATTAGTGTATGAAGCTGTAATGTCTTAATATCGTGACTGTTTAATATCTATACAGCTACACACAAATAGATTACTAAAACACAACTAATTCTCCACTTCGGCCAGAGTCATCAACTATAATAGACATGGTCAGTAACTGAGCTCTGCATGCCACCTGCTGGCCAAATTGGATACATATCAGTACCGGTATCACTGATGACCAGTCATCATTTAATTCTTGTTTTAGAGAAAGGATGGCCAATCCAGCTTCTGGAGATCTACAACCCTGGCAGAGTTTAAATCCAGCCCTACATTAGCACTTCAACGATAAAATTACGCTGGTATGCAAAAGATTTTTTAAAGCAAAAAGAAGTAAACACAACCTCTGCAGCAAGCTCTTTTAAAAATAATATTTTCTGCCAATGTTAATGTGCAGTCATTTTATTTGATTAATGTAAAAATAGTAAAGAAAAAGTAATTGAGGCATGTGGAAAAGTTTTCTCAGAACTTATTTAACTTGTTAGGCCTTAACTGACTCGTTAGTGCTGGTTAGGCAGATCAAGAGTTGTCATTAGTAATTATCAGCTGATGACAATTCCAGAGCATAATAAGTCCTCCAAATCTTTAAACACTTAACAAAGCAAATTCTCATACGACATTAAACGACTTTAGCTGCCACAGGAGTGGTGGTGCATGGCTCTACTGTTCAGCCTTGCATTCCCAAACAGAAAAAACCTCATCAGAAGGAAATCTTACCTGTGACCTCATCACAAAAGTCAGTCTGAGGTATGCAAAATGACATCTAGATAAGCCAGAAGCATTTTGCAAATAAGTACTGTGGACCGATGAAATAAAAATAAAACTCTTTGGCCACAGTTTGGAGAAAAAAGGAGCAGCATATGATGATAAGAACACCTTGCTAACTGTGAAGCATGGGGGTTTATCTATTATGCTTTGGGGTTGTGTGGCAGCCAGTATCACATGAAACATTGCACATGTAGATGGATGAATGAATTCTACCAAATATCAGCAAATTCTTTAAGTAAATGTAACTCCATCAGTCAAGACACTGAAGTTGAAAAGAAGCTTCTACAACAGGACAGTGATCCAGAATATACCTCAAAATACACCATAAACTATTTCAAGAAATGTAAACTGATGCTTTTGAAATTTGCCTCAGAGTCCCCTGACATGAACATCACTGAAAATCTGTGGGCTGATCTTAAACATGCTGTGTATGCAAAATGGCCCAAGCATTTCGTAGAACTACAAGAGTTCTGCAGGGAAGAGTGTATGAAAACTAAAGAAAGAATATAAAGACTCCTAGCTGGCTACAAATAGAATTTGAAAGCTGTGATTCTGGTCAAAAGGGGTGTTACTAAGTTCTGGCTTAGTACAGTGTCCAAACTTTGTATTATTTATTTGTTTCTGTTTTTTTTTAAGTTAATCAAATATAAAGTAATTGTGCATTAACATTTGCAGATAAATGATTTTTTTAATAATTTGTTGCAGAGATTGTGTACCTCTTCTCTCTTCAAAAAACAACCAACTATGTAATTTGACCAGGGTTGGCAAAACTTTTGTATGCAATCTACATCATGGATACGTTGATAACCATGCATGTGAAGAAGACTACACTACTGATGTATGAATCTGCAGTAAGGAACTTCATAGCATCCTCCCCATTTCTGAAACCTTGACGGATGCTATTCAGGCATGTTTAATTGTTTAACTGACATGAGGGATTCAGAGGGAGATGATACTACCTAACAAAACAGACACTATATACTGAACTACATAGTGTGTAGTGTAAGAATATAGTGCACAGTACCTAAATTGAAACACATTGACTCACATTGCCTCACCCTTACCTGACAGAGCTGGGGAGGATTCCTGGCCTCTCTATGCTGCCTGACAGGTCATTGTGGAATCCATTGGGAATGCTCCACTGCGCCGGCTGGCTCAGGACATTTTCAGACCTGCTGCCTGGGATGGAGGTCCGGAGGGGGCTTCCGGAGCCCGCTTCGTTCCTTCCAGTGTCCAGCTCCCCCTCCCCCTCCTGGGTCTCGGCTCCCTCCTGCACGGTCTCCAGCTCCAGCTCTGGAGGCTCAGGCCCTGCCAGCGCCCTCTGCTGGATGAGCGGCGTGAGGGGTGCCTCGAAGCTCACACAGCTGTCCGTCTCGTCCGTGAGCGACAGCACGTCCAGTGAGTCCAGGCTACTGTAGCAAGTGCCACCTCGCAGAAGCTCCGACTCCACAATGCGTTCAAACGTGGAGCTGAAGCCGTCCTGGCTTTCCTTGGCCCTGTCACACTCTTCCTCGCCACCGTCCTCCTCCTCCTCCTCGTCCTCGAGCGCTGTGGATCCACCAGCTTGTTCCACGATGCGCTCGAATGCTGAGCTGAAACTGTCCTGGTTTGGCGCCTCTTCTTCCTCCTCTACCTCCGCGTCTGCTTCTTCCACTGAAAGCTCAAAGGTGGAGCTGAATGTGTCCAAGTTCCCTTGAGCTGGCTCTTCATCACAGCCTTCGTCTTCCTCCTGCCCTTCGCTGTCCTCGCTAGTGCCGTTTTGCACCCTGCAAACACACACACCCTGATTAGTGCATCCAAAAGCATCCTATATTCCACGATACCTCCCCAGTTCCACCTTCTTCTATCTGCTAAACTACATGCTTTATAAAATTTGCCCAGGCTACACAGCAGCTTTTTGCAAACAGTGGAGCAGCTGGCTGGTGCATGGCGGTGTTCGTAGAGCAGGATGGCGTATGCATACTTCTAACTATAGCTGCGCCACTGTCACACTCATGCATCAAGACTGGAGCAGCAGAATCCCAGAAGAGCAGCGCTTCATCCAGGACAGCTCCCCCGCCACTCAGCCCCAAAATATCTCCCTACTCTTTGCCTGTACACACGTGTTACAGCCCACTTCTGACAGTGCTTAACTGCCTCTACTGAAGCACACCACTTTTAGTGTGCCCCCTGATCAACCCCGAAATATTGCCAAAAGTATAATCCTGCTCTTCCTGTTCTACATATAAATAAGCAAAAATGTCAGACAGGGTAATACATCTCATATTTGGCTCTCACATTGGATCAAAACATGCGAACTTATCCTTATTTCACCCTAATACATGTCCATTTCTTGATCATATGGCCTGGAGAGAGAGAATCATGCCTCTGACAGTGCTGACCTTCAAATGATCTCTCTCTCTCGTACTTGCTCTCTCTCTGAACAATGACGATTTGTATGATTTAGATTTATTTTGTGGGCTAATCCTAATCTGTTCTTTGGTCGGCTGATATAAATCATTAGATTACTGACCTCACAGTGTGCTGCGGCTCCACTGAATCCTCCGCGGGTTGGTCCAATGGATGTGGGAGGACGTCATGACCCTCATATTCAGTGCTAGGGACATTGTCGCTGTCTCCTTTGCTGTGCTCAGGTTCTGCCTGCAGGCAGCAGCTTTCATCCTCTCCGTTCTTTCTAGAACCATCTCCGATCTCTTCGTCTTCGTCTGTCCTCTGCTCTCCATTAGCCAGCACATCCCCATTTAGTTCTTCTTCTGGCTTTTCTTCTTCTGAAACTACTTCCGTCTCTCCTTCATCTCTACTTGCCCGTTCCTCAGCCTGACAGTCCAAAACATTCACCTCCCCTGCCTCCTTCTCCTGCTCCACATCTCCAGCCTCAGGGCTGTCGGGATCCTCTTGGGCCTCTACAAGTGCATCTGGAGGTGATGTGTGCGTGTGGAGGGGGTCACCCTGCCCCTCCTGGCTCATGGCGGCCTCTTCAGTCAGAATGTGTATGCAGTCCAGGGTCGCAAAGTCAAGGACCAGCACAGGGCTTAAGGGTCAAAGTTTACAGCTCTGAGGGGAAAGGCGGGAAAGGTATTAGTTGAAGGTAAAGATGACTGATTGTAACTGTAAATGAGCTCCTGCTGCACAGCATTAATATGAAGTGACCTTGCATATTCCTCTGTGGTAAATATTGCTAATCCTGCTCCTATAGAGCTGTCCTCCTGCAGAGTTAAGCGCTAATCTCACCCCCCTGTTAGAGCTTATGAACATTTTTGAAAGCGGTTACATGCTACAACTGACGTCATCAGGGGGTGACATTGGATATTGTTGCTATGGGGTGCTGAAACCTTTTGAAAGGGGTACTATGGGGGCACTCTATGGCTGTCGCTGTGCCAATTTTTCAACACAGGGAGGTTGAAGGGCATAACTTTGTCAGACAGCAACCAATCAGAAGGTTGACATCTGGTGTAATAAGATTTTTTTTTAATTTGCCATAATCATAACCAAGCTATACACTGATTCAATATGTAGCACTCAAAATACATCTAGCAGGAGCTGATTATAGTGGGTAAAACAATGTTTTCAAAAAGCATACAAACATTTAGTGGGAGCTAATTACATTGGAGGTTCTCTCCTTTTCTATTTTACCCCTCGTTGCTCTCTAGCAGCTCAACATAGGAAAAGGCTGTTTGGTATAACACAGTTTAATATAGGTTATGGTGGTGATGTGCCCAGCTGTGTAGTCAGTATGATATCACTGTGGTGTTGCAGTGATTCCAATCGACAGAAGTTGGTTTCACTCTGAACGTTTTCTTTTTTATAAGGAATAAGAAAGCTGTCCATGTTGAAACAGCTAAGCAGAAATACTCCACTACATAAATCTTATGAGCACAGAGTGGACATATAGTGACTGACTGACGATGTGGCGTCAGTTAATGGTTTGATTTAGAGTACACTAAAACAAGACTGATCTTGTATCAGCAGCCTGCTGTGCATTCTCAGTGTATGAACTAGCCTAACTACATTCAGATGATACATGAAAATGCCTGTATGCCTGTAAACATCTTTCAGGGGGTGCTAGTGGGTGCTAGCAAGCCCCTAGCACCACTGATGTGTTAGACCAGGGATGAGGCGCAATTGTGCTGAACAGAAGAGGCTGCATTGACCAGTTTAGCAATAATATACAGCAGCAAAAAAACTGTTTAGTGAGCTTCCAGGTGGTGGATCCAGAAAGCAGTGACTCCACGACTGGGGTGCCATTTGCGTCCCACTGATATTACACTTACAAATATGTATGTAAAGGTAAAGTGACCTTCACAACAACCTATGTGAATATTTTAGATTAAAAAATCTACAGCACTTTGAAAACAGTACCTTGAAATACAACCACTGAAATACTTCAAAAATTGAATTCATTTAATGTCCCATGCTTTAAACATCATTTGTCATGAGTCATCCATTACAGGTTATGAAAATGTACATTTAAGTTGTGTCCCACAACAGTCACTCAACCCTGTGACCGAAACACTTTCACCACTATGAAATTTCCGGAAGTCACATGTTCAATTGGAATTTGCATCAACCAAATTTCTAGCACATCATGGGAAAAAGAAAATAAAGTTCTGTCATTCATTTTTTCTTTATTTTCAGTGATATTGTGATATTGCCAGATGAGGTCACTTTGAAAGTTCAACCCTGTAACCCAAATTATAGTGCTGCGTTTCGTCCTCTCTATTACATTCTCGGTATTCCAGAGACTGTATATCAGATTCTGACTCTGTCAAATTGTATAAGTTTGTGAATGATACAACATTGTGGGGACTGGTATCTACTGACAATGAAACAGCATCCAGGGACATGGCCTCAGTGGAGTGGAGCAGGGTGAATAACTTAAGCCTGAGTATTGACTTTAAGAGATGGAGGTGGGACCTACCACCTCTGACCGTCAGTGGTGGGGAGATGGAGAGGGTTCCTAGGGACAACCATCAGCTCATCTCTTGAGTAGGAGAGCAACACTGCTGTCTTGTTGGGGAAAAGCTCATCAAAGACTTTTCTTTATAAGACAGCTTAAGAAATTTGGTGTGACTAGAGACTGTATGATACATTTTTATTGAGCTACTCTGGAAAGTGTGCTGACCTTCTCCATATGTGTCTGGTATTGTAGCACAGCGGCACATGAGAGAGAGCAGCAAGAGAAAGTGGTGCGTATTTAAAATCTATGCAAATAGCTCCCACACATTACAGTACCTTTTTAAAAAGCTCTTCTTTTGCTTCTGGCAAAAGGTTTCAAAGCATCTTATGTAGTATCTCGGTTTAGTAACAGTTCCTGCCCTTCCGCTATCATACCTTTGAAGTCCACTCCACAATCTTAACCTTGTTTCTTTTAATTGACGTCAATGTTTGTTATTTTATTGAGATTATGGATGTTTTGGGTATGAGTACATAGTGTTTGAGTGTTTGAGCATGACTGAAAGAAATTTCTCTTACTGACTGATTTGGCAATAAAGTATTTTTTATTGAAACTTGAAAAAGTATATTTTATGTAAAGCATAAGAATGTCATTAATGTCCTTGCACCATTAGCATATATGCTAGTTAGCCACATTTTGTGTATTTGCTAATTCTTTGCTAAGAATTCTATGCTGTTACTCATTTAAGGCACTGTCAGCAAAGAAACCATGTAAAAAAGAGACATTGTTCTTGAGATGAGGTAATACATTTTTGAATGGTTAAATATATGTTTGATATATTTACTGCGGAAAAATAATTTTTAAAAATGAAGTTTATATTTTAAGAGTTACAAGGATTAAATGGCACCCCAGTCATGGAATCACCCTGATTTAGCATATAGAGACCCATGTCATACAATGTTGTATGCCTATCACCAAACACACAAACTGTCTTGTTTTCTTCTTAACTCTATAAATACAGCTTCAAATATAACTCTCTAATTAACTTTTAAACACAGGAATCCATGAACTTTACAAACCTTTTTAATTCTCTGTCTGTATTTTGTCCCAAAAGTCTCATAGTTGTCATAGTGTGCAGAGCAGGCAACCGCATGTTACTGACTAGCTAGCATTTCGATATTTAGCTTGCTTCTCATCTGACTGATAAGAACTGGTCCACAGAAGAGTAAGGAAAGGTCCTGCAGTGCATCAGAGACTAAAAATACAGCAAAAATACTTTCTGCTATGCTTAACTACCTCAGAATGGAGCATCTGTTGTTAGCTATCAGTAGCAAGCTAATAGAATACATTTCACTGATATCCAGAAAACTGTCATTGTTTGTCTTTACTCATAATAAATGACAACTAGTTGAGTACTTTTTTGAGAAACTAGTCGAGCAACTGGTACAAATAAATAGTTGCAATCCCTTCTGTGTTGTAGCTTTGCAGGACAAGACTTGAATGAACATTCATTACTGACATACAACAGCTCTGGTTGTATTGTAGGTTCAGTATAGCTCTGCATGTAAATCTGCGTTAAACAATATGGGAAACAATAAAGCGCAAGACGAATTACAGATCATAACATATACTTTTTACACACACACAAACATTCACTGATCAAGCATAACATTATGACCACCTCCTTACTTCTACGCTCATTGTCCCTGACAGACCAGGTACTATTTGGGTGGTGGATCATTCTCAGCACTGCACTAACAGTGATGTGGTGGTGGTGTGTTAGTGTGTGTTGCGCTGGTCTGAGTGGATCAGACACAGCAGTGCTGCTGGAGTTTTTAAACACTGCGTCCACTCACTGTCCACTCTATTAGACACTCCTACCTTGTCATTCTACCTTGTAGATATAAAGTCAGAGACGATAGCTCATCTGCTGCTGCACAGTTTGTGTTGGTCATCCTCTAGTCCTTCATCAGTGGTCACAGGACGCTGTTGGCTGGATATTTTTGGTTGGTGGACTATTCTCAGTCCAGCAGTGATGCTGAGGTGTTTAAAAACAGTCTGATCCACTCGTACCAGCGCAACACACACTAACACACCACCACCATGTCAGTGTTACTGCAGTGCTGAGAATGATCCACCACCCAAATAGTACCTGCTCTGAGATGGTCCATGGGGGTCCTGACCACTAAAGAACAGGGTAAAAGGGGGCTAACAAAGTATGAAGAGAAACAGACGGACTACAGTCTGTAATTGTAGAGCTACAAAGGGGTGATTTCACATTAAAACCCTGCAACACTTGTGGTGAAACAGAACAAGTATATATATATACTTGTTCTGTTTCACCACAAGTGTTGCAGAGTTTTAATGTGAAATCACCCCCCCTGGTTTTTAATGGTCCTTTTTCAGCAGGGCCTGCACTTGAAATGTCAAAGAAACGTGAGAAGCGCAAACTGATGTGTGAATAAATGCAGTGAGGATACAAGATAAAAGCATTCAAATACACAAGAGGCGAAGTAACACTTGACAACTGCAGTTCTAAAGAGGCAGAATCCTGACAGGATTAAACCTCTGCTACTTGGCTCTGGTCTCTGATATCAGCCTTGCAGCAGTGCAGCACAATACTGCGGTACGATGCTGAGTTTGCACACATCAGACTCAACTGACACCTCACGCCTAATACAGTTCATCAAATTACCCCATACAACAACAGACTGACAAAGAATATCAGTGTTTTCAAAGCATATCACTGTATCATGGTATCCAATGACACTATTTAAGATTCATTTACTAAAGATAATAAAGCAATGTTTTCTGAGCCTTATGCTTTTATGCTGTTCATTTGAAGCAACTCACAATATCAAGCAAATGTCAAGCAGTTTACAATGTGTTATAGTATGTGCATTATCAAGGACCTCTGTTTTTGTTATCCACCAGTAAGGCTGTTTCTGAACATTAAACAACATCCTACTTGTTTGCTCCTCCCACACAAATCATTTAATAACTTACACACTGTATAGTGACGTCATCAACTACACACCAAAACATAAGCAGATGGTTTATTTACAGTTTAAAGAATTTTGAGAACAATGAGAAGTTATGACATGGAAAACCTAGTAAATGATATCAAATAATAAACTGCAATTATCTATTTATAGCAAAT